AGTGTAATTTTATAGAGGGGAAGATATCCTTACATGGATTCTTACAATCACTAAAAGCCAATACTAACAGGGACAGATTTATAATATCTGCTGCAACTAGAGCCAGGTGCTCACTAATCGGCAAGTGGAGCAGGTTTTCCCCATTATTTTCACTAGTGTAATTTTAAAAACACGTTTGCCAGTTTAGTTTATACTCGCAAAGTTATCCAACAGCAAGACAGACAGAAAACGCATTTTATCCCGATCTTCCCAAGTTCCTGTTCTCAAGGGTTGACCACGCTTGTTTACTGTAAACACCAAGGATAACAATTATCTTAACCGCAGAGCACCAAATGAGACTCTCTGTGGATCTGAAGTAGTTGAAAGGTTTTACATTAAGGACACTTTTATAGGTCCTATAAACTTTTACCGGGTATGAAAAACACACACAGAAATGCTGCTTCATAGCAGAGGCAGACTTGGTATATTATGTGTGCTACTTTGAGTGCCTTAAATCTGTGCTGCAGGTCAAGCTGACCATACTTTCTAGCACAAGACAACTGGATACAACAGAAGCACAGTGTTAGCTTTGCTCTTCTGAAGCTGCAGAGTCCAGGACTCCGCATGCAGTTGTCTCACTCTTATCACCTGAAAGCATCAAACATGAAAGAGGAATTCTAAAAACGCCACCTTGATTGTGAAGGCAAGTGGCGAAACGTTTTGGCATCTTCTAGGATGAAAAGTACGTTAAATATTCAATATTATTATAATTATTTTCATGCTGAAAGGCAAAAACTTCAAACTTAACAGCTACAAAACATGCATCATACCTTCAAACAGCCACTGGGGCCTCTGTTTTGTTCATGCATACAAGAATGGCTTTCCTTCTTTAATGGTGGGGGCTACGACTAAATCTCTTGGCCTGTAACCGGTCCTCCTAATTTGAGGAAGATACATTCCTCAAGTGTCTGCGGATAATGAAATACCCTCTGCTATACTGTATATATATACATACACGGTGGGTATACCTATCACACCTTTCAAACCAAAATAAATATGCCCTTTTACGAAAGAAATACACACAGAACTGCACTACTCTTCCATTATAAAAGGAAGACGATGAACCGAGCTTGTCTGACTGCAAGCACACAAAACTCCAGATGAGGAAGGAGTATATTGGGTTATCACTGGGGTACTGGAGAAGGGTTTGAAATTTTGATTTGAATCAAAGGTTCTTTCTTCCTTTTCTAAGTCAAGGTATGTTGTTTGTCTGCCGTCCTATAACCCTTAGCATCTCCCCAGCGAGGGCTACAACCCTCTGAGCCTGGCTAACTAAATCACACGCCTGCAGGACCACACTACAGTCGGCCTGTCGTTACCCTCTGCTTTACTCCTTTGACACATCTAGGCCCGACTACAAAATAACCAGTGACAAACACGAGGGGGTCATCCAGCCCACACAGCCTGTGTGCTAGTTAGTAGATAAGTGGTCTATGGATCTCACCCAGCTTCTTCTTGAATGAAGCCAGAGTATGGGCATCAACCTCACAGCTGGGTATATTGTTTCATATTTCCATGATTATTTTGGGAGAGAAGTGCCCCCTGTTCCCAGTTTTAAATACCCTTCCAGATAGTTTCCACTTGTAACCCCCGTTTTATGTTTATTCTGAGGACACCCACTTCATTGTCTTTGTCATTGCCTGAAAGAAGAAGATTCTTTCAGATAGTCTTCTCTGTTCAAGACTTAAAAGAACTTCCTCCCTCTCATTTAAAAAACACAATCCAAACTCTCACACAGGTAAAAACACACAAGGCGACAGAGATTCTTCAGATGCTTTAAAACTGAGCACAACAGTCGTCTTCTAGTGCAGCGATTCTGCCACAGACTGGGAGAAACTGCTAGCTACAGCCAGGAAAAAGACTAAACTCGTCTTTTTGAGATGAAAGGCACTGGATCCTTACCACACGAACGGTTTTATAAGTCACTTGTGTGCTCAAGCTTATGATTACATTAAAGTTCAAAGGCAAGGAGGATATCTCCAGTGCTGTACTTTATTATTTAATGCAGCTCGTAAAAAAGAGAACAGGAGGAGCACCTGTGTACAACTCCAGCTGAAGCAAGACCCCAAACAGCACCTGCAGAGCCTGCCCGGCCCAATCATTTCACAGGACCCTGCAGCTGAAAGAATCCTCTCGTTCGAGCCCACGGCCAGTCTGCAGCTCTGGACCGTAACTGGTCTGAGCCACAAGATAAGCTCTCATTTTATTTAAAGTAAATAAATGCTTCAAACAACGCCTCGTTTGAATCGCTTCCATTGAAACTTGACGGAGAAAAAAAAAACTCAGGCTGGAAAGTGAACTTTTTTCCATGACAGTGGCAGAGCAGCCCAGAGTATTTCATACCGCCTGTGGCCGACGGGTTTGTGCCCTGCCTTGGGCCATTAAGAGAAAAGCTCCCCCATTTCTGCGGCAATGCCATGGGCATGACAGTCCCCAACTGCCACAGCAAACTCACCCTACAGCGTGCACAGGAAAACATTCGCTGGTTAAAGGGGAAGTTCTGTGTAGGTGCTGCAAGAGGAATCTGGACTGCAAAATTTGTAACCCCAGTTTTGCTACTGCTGGGCTTCAGTGAGAGTACTTGATCAGTCTCTTCCATACAGAAAAGAAGAACAGAAATGTTATCTGATCTACACAATAGCCGATGCACATTTTGTTTTGGAGTTTAAAATCAATCTTTCATTAAAGAGGCAGTCTCTCTAAACATCCGTTTGCTGGATCCAGAGTTACTCATTTTACATGAATAACCAGTTGCCCAGGTTGGAGCTCCAGCTTAATGCTCCCCTGATACTTACAGCGTCACCACACACCAGGATAACGCTACAAGTGGGGTAAAAAGAAAGGGCAATTGTTTTGATGATTTCTTCAGGTGATTTGGTTGCACCAGCATTTGCCTGGAATTGATAAAAAGTCCTAGTAGGTGCTGGTGGCCCTACGGGCTTGTGAAAAACGGTGACACGAGGCAACTGTTTAACACAGCAAAGGCTCTTCCACTATCCACTTCCACTATTGGCGGTATCAAATTCGCAACATTGCCAAATTTTGCACGGCTCAGATAATAATAATAATAATAATAATAATAATAATTGCTTACACTTATATAGCGCTTTTCTGGACACTCCACTCAAAGCGCTTTACAGGTAATGGGGTCTCCCCTCCACCACCACCAATGTGCAGCATCCACCTGGATGATGCGACGGCAGCCATAGTGCGCCAGAACGCTCACCACACATCAGCTATTAGTGGGGAGGAGAGCAGAGAGTAATGAAGCCAATTCATAGATGGGGATTATTAGGAGGCCATGATTGGTTAAGGCCAATGGGAAATTTGGCCAGGACACCGGGGTTACACCCCTACTCTTTTCGAGAAACGCCCTGGGATTTTTAATGACCACAGAGAGTCAGGACCTCGGTTTTACGTCTCATCCGAAGGACGGCACCTGTTTACAGTATAGTGTCCCCATCACTATACTGGGGCATTAGGACCCACGTGGACCACAGGGTGAGCGCCCCCTGCTGGCCCCACTAACACCTCTTCCGATGAGCACCCTAACAGTCCTGCAGGAGCACAGTGCCCGCTGTGGTAGGCTCCAGCTTTGACACTGGGCACCCCGGCCGCTGGTCTCCAACAGGAATGCACCCACATCAACTGCACCATCCGGGGCAGTGGCGCCGGAGACACCTCCTAAATAATGAAGTATCGCCTGCAGGGGGTGAGAGCCAGCCGCATGGCCACACAGCTGGTGCCAGGAAAAAGGGGGCCACGCCATTGGCCAATCACAAACCCCGACACAGCATGCGGGGGGCCGTGCTGCTGCAGAGCAGAGCCCCAGCGCCATGGAAACAAAGGCCGAGGAGCTACTGCACCTGACCCCGCTGACAGCCCCAGCGCCGAAATACCCCGGCAGACTACAACGGGACCAGGGCAAAAAAAAAACAAACAAACACAGAGCGGGATTCGCGTTGTTCTCCGTGCCGGGAAGCATCAGGGGCAGCGGCTCGATGGGCCGCTGTCAGCTCAAACGATATGTGATGATGCCACCGCACCTCAGTGGCACAACTCCCCCCTTTCTGAGATAACGCAGCACGAAGCGGTGATTAAAGGAAGTTCAGCCCGTGCATTGACAGCCAGCCTTTGTTACAGCGACCGTCTATGCCGTGAACAAGACGGCAGGCCTACAAGTTCTTGATGACACATAAGGGCAACGGAACCCTTCGTTTTTACACCCATTCGCGTTATTATTCCCAGCTACGTTAAAACTGGCGTTGGCTCCAGACTCCGCCACACACGCACGATGAGCCTGCCCAAGCCGCACCGCACACACCTGCCAGGGCTGGCAGGGGCAGACGGGGCCAGGGCTGGACAGAAAGAGACCCGTTTCGCCGTGCCGCCGTCTGCCGAGCTGCTCAGAGGGATGAATTCAAAGGAAAGAGAGGGGTGGTGGAAACAAACCAGTGCGTGCAAAGTTACTGCCCGGACATCGCTTTCCCTCACGAACTGTGGCAAAGCAAACCCCGGACGGGCATTCAAGACACTTGTCCCCCCACCTGCAAGCCTGAAAGGTGAGCCTTTCGGGAGCTTGGCGGAGGCGAACACACACCGCGGCACCGACGGAGCGATACACAAGCTGCGGGTCCCTGGACATCACCAGGCGCCACCGCGGACCTCCGGCCGGCGTGCGATGCGGACGCACCGAGGAGTGCATCCGCAGTGCTGGGCAATCGCCCACACTCATTATCAGACCCCACAACAACAGAAACAACAAGAAGAAGAAAAAAAGAGCCCCCCCCCCAAAAAACGATTAAAAAACACCACACTGTGAAGCTGAGACTCAGATCCCCCTTCCTGGACCCGGTACACTTTTATGTTACATTGTAATGACGATGGCTGAAAGGCGGAGATACTCGGTATCCCCCCCCTTCCCCTCCCCATTACTAGAAGTACTATTATATTATTATTACCAGCTGCAGGCTGCAGGTTTGAGTGCAGTTCTTACCGTACTCTCACTCTCTCCCTCCTGCCATGACTCAATCTGGTTCACAGCCTTCATGCACCAGGGAAATATCGCGGCCCCCGGACCGAGCGGGGAGGGGGGAAGGGGGGGGGGGTCGGCTCGGCGTCTTACGCTGTCCGGTTCTACTCCACTCTGGATCCCGGCTGCTGGATCACGACGCAGGCCCTGAACCGACGTCAACCAAATTCACAACATGGCGGCGGGGAAGGGGGGTGCTGGGAGTATCGCGAGATTACGGCTCGGCCACCCGGAAGAGAGACATGCCCGCGGTTTGGACGGGAGATCATGACAGACGGAGGAGGGGGGGGTGGTTTAAAAGTGACAGAGGGAAGCGGGAGTTTCTGTCGAACAAGTTCCGTAGACGCGTCGAGTATCACATGAATGCTTTACCATAAAGTAATGACCGGGTTAGCATGCACATGTCGTAACGGGTCAGGAGTACACCCGGCTTCGTCCGTTTCGTGTTGTAGAAACTGCAGGCTATTGTGCAAACTGCGCCGACGAACCACGAAAGACGGCACATGCAAGCAAGCCCTAGGCAGATGCACTGTATCTGTGCAGTCTATACACAGGAACTCGTAATTGTTTACAAGTCCGAATTGTCTGCTGCCTGGGTGCTACAGCGGTTTAAACCTGCAGTATTTCAGACTGGTTCTCCTGCAGTATCCTACGGTCTATACATGAAAGAGTTCAATATTTGTTTTGATTCTTAATATCGTTCGTTAAGATTGTGGAAAACCTGCATGGGAAAATAAAATATATTTGTAATCGTAAATCACTGATTTTATGTTGTGCAGGGTTGACGCTTGCGTTTGATTATTCTAAGATCCAAAGACTACACTGTGCGGTGTATAACTGATTGTCTTTGCAACACGTGTGTAGAGAGGCTTCAGAGCCGCTTTTCACAGAGCAGAGAAGCGACACGGTTACCCAGCTGAGATCTCAGGATCGAAAACCTGAGAGGGGCAAACCGCAGTAAACCACGTAAACCGTTGGAGGTGTGAGAATATGAGAATAACCAGTGCAAATCCATATGGACATGCAAACCTCACACCGAGGCAGGTGCCCAAGGCCACCTGTCTCCAAGTTAAACCTTGGAGCCGGGCAACAGCAAAGCCGACCAGTGTGTCTCATATAAAGCAGTATTTTGTGCACGCATCATGTCACATTGCAGTATAGCAGTTTTGAAAAGTATTAATTCAATAATTGGAAAAAAAAAGAGCTCGAAACCTGAAAACCCGCTGGATCAGGAAGGAATGTCTTGCATGGTCAGTCAATTACAACTCTGTTCTGAACATGTCTAACGTGCTGTGCGGAGATGTGATGTATCCTAGCAACCCCCTCTTGAGACCATTCCCACTAGCACGTATCAGCTCTTTGATTGGGAGCTGCATTGTCATTGTCTGGCTTGTTCAGCTGGCTGGTTGACCACACGCCTCACTGAGGAGTGGTTCCAACCTTTGTTGGACCAGAATTACTCACTTATTTGTCTTCATGGTTTTATTTCTTATCATGTCTGTAATGTTTGTATTTAGGGCTCAGAGAAGAAAAAAAACAACATTTCCTGAATATTCCTTGATGAATTTCTGGGAGTTGGTACCTTTCCTTAATAAAATAATAATTGAACACTGTTCAGTAAAAAAACAACAACAATTGATTTTGTGTTTTGGAAAAAATGTGATTAGATGTAACTTTCAGTTAACAGTTCTGTGTTTTATTTTATTTTCATCTGCGAAATAAAATAATTTGAATTACTTCCAAAAAAAATAAACATAAGTAAAGAATAAATGAAAAAGTGATATTTTGACTTGACTGTTTTGAGTATATCAAAACTTTGATGCTTTCTTCTAAATGAAGATCATAGCTCAGATCATTTTTGCACGTGTTAGTTCTATGGGGCTTGTAGCGAACAGATCACTCTCCAAGGCTTAGTAGTAGCTGCAGTGAGCCAGTTTTTCAAGTCTGCACCTACCTGCGCCACAGCACACAGTGTGCTGAAAAGCGACTTCAGTATGTGAGTAATGATTGGACAACAAATAAAGAATCAAAGGAAAAAGGAAAACAGCCATCTACACAGGAAACCGTTCTTGCCTTCGAAGTTGACCGTGATATTGTCAGCTAGCAACTGCAACTTCAATGTCCTGAAAAATAAAGCAGTTCCAGTTTTGTTTACTGAAAGATGTGCACAGGTTATGAATGGAATTGTGCCATCTGGTGGTGAGAAAGGAAACTAAGCAGTGGTTCTCACGCTTTAGGGGATGGATTTATACGCTCCACCTGCAGAAGTTTGCATTATACTTTGAGCACACGGACGCATTTACATGGGCAAAGACTACTCACAGGGGCAGCTTAACAGTCAGACAATAAAGCTGTAAACTGCTCAACTTTGAAATTATTTAATTTTTTTATTATATAGAGATGATATAATAAAACATTTAAGTTTGTACTTTATATAAGTATTCATTACTTTCACGATGACGTGTTTAATATTTTCCTGTCATGAAATTAGGGCTCTGAATAGTAAATGCTTGGGGGAAAAAATGCATTGAAATGTACAGTACGGCTGATTTCTGTAACAGAACAAGGAACATGTAATATCTAACTGACACACACTACGGAAAAAGAAAGGCTACTTCATTTGTGGAAATGTCTCCGTTTCTGTGTCTGTTAATTTTGTGTTTTCAGTTTGTTGACCAATTAAACATGCAACAGACCTACAGCATTTTGGATTTCGTGGTTTATGAACTTTTCTATGTTCATGTGTTTAGATTCCTGTTTTAAATTTAGCGCTCTTCAAAGCTTGTTATGCTGCTGGAGAAGAACTTGAATTTTATTACACTTTGAAACGTTACCTATCAGAGAGGAGGGATGTGAGTCAGATTAAACCACTACTTCACACCTTTCGCAAAATGGGATGAATTGGAAAATCTTCCAGTTAGAAGTGCTGGCTTCCACGTTTGCATCACACATAGGAGGGATTTACCGCCTCAGTCTTTTCACTGACAGGTGCCTGTTCAGGGATCGTTTATTTTTCTCGGCCTTGAAAAGCTGGAGCACGAAAATGAAGCGTGACTATTTTTGTTAATACCGTTTATGATTAAATACGGCTCGTCTCCTGTTCTTATTTTGATGTGATTACACAAGTAATTTCCTGCTTTTGCTGGGATCGAATTGTTATAAGGATTGCAAAACGATATCCTAAGATAAAAAAATGTAAATGTGTAGAACTTAATTCTAAACAACAACAACAAAAAAAAAAATAAATTGAAAAAGTTAAATGACATTAATTGTGGTATTGTTTCAACATCATTAACTAGACGACTGCCACCTGGTGGTCAAATTGTATTTCAGCAGAATTCAGACGGTCAGAAAGAACCGAGGAAAGATTTGTCAGCATCTGTCTTCAGGAGAACGTCTTAACTTACCTTTAAAGCAAGGGCTTCTGTAGATATACAACCCACTTCCACCCAAATCTCCCAGAGGAAAAAAAAAACAACCGAAATATTCATATCGGTTTTTTCAGACCTGCCAAAGCCCTTTGATTCCCATCCCAGGGAATTTTAATTAAGCTCCTATCTGTTTCAGAAACCGACTGGCTAACAGAGTCATTGAGAGTGAATGACAGAGGAAGAGAAAGGTTTATAGTTGGCGAATGAATGTATTAACTGAGGTGACAATATAGCAGCCCTGTAATTGTGTGAGCAGTTTCTGGTCCTGCCAGATACAATAGCTTAGTTTTGAATCATTTCTTTATTTTAAATATAATTACTATGAGAAGCAGCCAATTAGACTGAAATGACATTAAATCAATTTAATAGTGCATTTTTGTTTTGTTTCTTTATTTATTCCCTGCCAGTTCGTTGTCTGCAGCTCTGCTTAATCAGCCATACAGTAATTGAAAACACTGGGCTGATAATTAACCCTGAAGACTGGGCTTCAGGAAGGTTCTTTGAGTATATCATAGAGACAGTAATAATGTCTTAATAAACTGGCAGCCTGCAAAGTTGTTTACCTATAATTTATTTCCATGTCAGATCATCAATCACAGTAAACTCAGCTAACATAAGAAAAATACATTAAGCGGGCACATTATACAGGTAAATTATGAGACTGATTTTTAAAGTGTGAACTCTTTATGAGGTTCAGGGCTGCAGCTGGAGAACCATAGATTTAGCTTTTAAAGCATTCACAATCCATATCTAGGCACTAAACACTTCACATGGAATCAGCTATTACTTCTCAGCACTGCTTAGTGCCATGGTACTGTGAGAGAAATACAGTCTGCTAAATAAATTAGTACCCCAGAGGTACCATTACTGCCAGAAAGATGTGTGTAATGTATATCAGGTTCTGGAAGGCAACAAGGCAACATGAGCAATTGAAATAAAAATGTACTTTGTGTAAATGTGAATCTTTAATATTTATCTTTAATCTAATGCAGGCCCACATTCAGCAGAAAGATGTTTTCTTTGTAGTGGTTGGTATAAGGGCAGGTGGCTGGTACTGCAACATGAGAATAACACAATCAGTGAGAGGTTGTCTGTTTTGTCTTATGGATTTAATTTAAATGGTTTAATCTCACATAGCACCTCACGTCCATTCATTTCTTCATCATCTTCGGTAAAGGAAAGTGAAAGTACTGTCAAATCATTAATTGCTTATTGATGGGCAACATTTTGTCAGCAGTTATAGTCCAAAATCATCCCAATGTTATCCTGTAAATTCTGCTTGCCATAGAGTGATTCAAGCTGATAGAAACTAAGTATGCTCTGAATTTTGTTTAAATGCTCATAGTGTAAATCTTCCTGAGGCCAGCGTCTGAGGGGATGCTCAGAGAGATCTAGAATACCGTCATACAGTTCTGTATGTACTTTAACCACGAGTGGCACCGGCCTGCTCAACAGGCATGGCACAACACGAGAAAAGCTCATGTGGTTTGGAGAGGATCATGCAGATTTGGCATGGAAGAGACAGTTTCACTCACTTTGGAGCAAGAACAGCATAATAAATACTATAAAATGATGAAATGGGCCCTTTAAGCTAAATTCTGCAAGTTTCAAAGAACCTGTGAAACTAGAAAAGGAACCAGAGTGTCATGTTGT